TTTTTGTTTTCTTTTTTAATTCCAACTTGAGCCGCAGGGCGGTGAAAGGCGTTTGCCTGCCTTGCGGGGTGAGGGAGAGGTGCTGGCCCTTCCCGGGCAATTTTCAGTGCCTTGGGTTAGCAAAGGCCTCCCCTCTCGTGTGCTTATTGCACCTTGCCAAAGCAGGGTCTCCGCCTTTGTTCCTCCGCCCGCCCGGCCCCTTCCGCCTGTCTTGGCACACCTGCCCGGGTTGGACAGTTTTGGCTTACAACCTGCTCCTTCGAAGACCCGCACAGCCCTGGGCTGGGGTGCCCTTAACTGGGGCGGGGAGGGGCACCTTGCTTGTCCTAGTCCCGTGAACGCAAGCCTGGAAAGGCAAAACCACTTAGTGCCACGTCTTTTGTATTTCCTTATTCTTTGTGCCACGTGTCCTTGCTTGGGCCCAGCGGTGATCATCCCATCTTGTGTGTGAGGAGGTCAGGGAGCAGGACGGCTACTGCAGATGTCCTCCTCATCCTGGAAGTCCGTGTGTTTCGATGAGCTTTGATCCACCGCTGTGTGGCCCAGGCTGCGGCCCCTTTTCTACTCGCTTCTGCTGCACTGACCCCTGCTTGCATGACATGAGGTCACCCGGGTGTGCCCTGCCAGGTGTGACGTTGCAGGTGGGCTTCTCTTGAGCTGTGCGCAGGCATGGGGTCTATCTTCTGTCTTTTCTGTCTCCCTTCAGCAAAGGATTCACATGTGTGCAGCTGTTTGTGTTTGAAAATAGGTATTTTGTAAATCAGTGCTGAAAGTGACCTGTCATAAGGAAGTGCTCCTTTCTGTTGTAAAATGGAGTAACAGAAATAAGACATAAGTAATAACAAAATAATAAAAATAAGCAAAACGGTGAAGTACTGAAATGTTCTAGCTGATTTGGAGCTGGGTGAGTAAGTGCAAGGTTATGGAGGGGGAGAAATTAGGTGCCTCCTGCGTGCTTATGTGCACCTGCACCGGGAATCCCTAGTTCAGTCCTGGATTTGTTATTATTACAAATGAGAGAGATTTTAGAGATTAGCAACAAAAGAATCAAAGCACCAGCGTGATGTATGTAAATGAAAAAATGTTTAAAAGAGCCTGCTTGATAAGTAAGAGAGAAAAGTGCAGTTCTGTAGATACGTAATGAGACAGGCAGCGAGGGCTTGTGTGCGCATATGTGGTGAATGTTAAGGAAGTATAACTCCCACCAGCTTACTGGGGACCTGATTTGGGTGGTATAGCAATTATTTCTACTGATGATGTTGCCATCATATGGGAAATACATAAATAAAACTTTATTTTCATACAGAGTTTCTTGGCACAGAGATTTTAGTGATGTAACTCTGCAAGAAAACTTAAGAACTGACTGAAGCAGCTGGCTTGGTACAAGAGTCAAGTGTATAGGCCAAAATTTGACAACAAACCCCAGCCATAGAGGATAGGAAATATTGATGTAAATAAAGAAAACAAGGTTTTTTAAAAAAATAACTAGGGGTCAAGATGAGGAAATAAATCAGTAAATATCATGTTGATACCAATCCCGAACAAGCAGATTATTTGATCTTTCTCACAGTTTTCTTTTAGAAGACTCACACTAAAGCACATGAGTTGTTGTAACTGGATTTTTAGTTGAAAGAGAACTGGATTGCTTTACTTGCTTGACTTGTTAAATTCTATCTTGTCTGAACAGCGTAAGCTTCTCATCTAGTTCTTGCAGGAAACCACTGATGAGGAAGCCCTTAGCAAGAGTCGATTTAGAATGTCTAGTTGAAATCTACTAATTATAGTCATCCTCCCCCTTCTCTCTTCAGTGATGACAAATTCAGTAGTTTTACAGGATAATTCAGTCCAACTTCCTCTTCTCCCTATTTCATTCTAAATTTTTACTAGCACCCTGTTAGCCGTCTTCAGGCAACTGAGCTTCTTGAACCTTCAATCGACTGATTGTGCTTTTATGAGAGACTGAATACAAGAGTTGTCTTACTAGAGCAGAAATCTAACAGAGCAGTTTTGTTCCATGCAAGGGCCACAGTTAGTTCTCTTGGCTAAAAGATTAATGCTTTCATGATTCAGACATGTGGGAATAAAATGCAAGTACAAAATGGAAAACAGCCAAGTAATCTAAATCAAACTAAAATGTTTCATAGCTACCAAATTTCTGTAGAATCATCATAACACTAAATTTCTGTTATATATTGTAGACTGAAATACACGTTTTTGTCTTTTTCAGATGTAACCTTAAGAATGCAGTCCGTTTGTCACAGAGTTGGCACTTGTTCCTCATGTTTGAAGAGACAGTTAAATGGCTTCCTGGGATTAATTAAATGGCAGAGAAGGCTGGTTCCTGCTTGTATCAGAACTATTTACAGTGAGACGGGGAAATGGGAAAAAAGCTATGGGTTGGAGACAAGAAAAAGAGTTGAAAATTGGTGGCTCCCAAGAATAAAGGATCAGTTCTGCAGAGTTTCAGAAACTGATGTAAGCATTATGAGAAATTTGGAAATTACGTGTTTAGTATTTTTATTTGGTCAGAGTTAAATTAATAGAAACTGATTTAGTACAGTTGGCTTATAATGACAAGATGTACATTACATTTCAAGGGGAGATATGACAGTAGATTATTGAAAACAGTTGATGAAATAGGCAGAAAAATAATAAAAAATCTTGAGGAAAAACAGTGATAAGCAAAGTATGAACGTGTAAATTTAGGAAGTGTTTAAGTAATCAATTATTCGTATATTATACCACATCTAGGAATTAATTATTTAAAGTATTAAAAGAAACATCTTTATGTTTGTAACTTTCATAAACAATTTTCTCAAGATCTTATTCCCAATGGTTATGACAAATCTATTACACTGCACACTGTAACTCCGGAAAACCTATGTTAAGGGAAGGTGATTTTTTTAATAATATTTTCTGGTTTACCATGTCTTAGCAATAATGAGTGACTTGCAGAAAAAAAGTTTTCCTATGCAATAAAAGATCTTGAAAACAACTGTAATCTTGGTCTCTGACTCTTTTTGCCTTCACATTTACGCTCAGTCACATAGCTATAAAAGCACATTTGTGCCCCTTCATGTTTGTTCTTCTTTCCTAAAATGTGCCCACTCTCCAAGAAAAAAATTATTCTGTCAAAATATCAAAGCGAGAAAAGGGGCTTGGTTTTTCTGAGGAAGAAAACTGAGATGAAAATGGTGTGCATGCATACCTGTAGCAGGGAAAGCATTAATTCAGGCTTGTGTCTTTAATATCTGACAATACATATATATGTAGGTATCTCATATATGTATCTCTCATACATATGCTAAGTTCTAAATTGTATTTTTAATGATATTTTTGTTTTATCCTTACAGTTGAAGTAGATTCAATAACATCTCATATTGAGAGGCAAATAGTGTATAGTGCTGCAATGAAGTATTTGGATTATTTCTAATTTTGCTATTATTGAACAAAAGTTAAAGAAGTGATGTTTGATAAATATGAATAGAATTTTGTTCAGAATAGTAAAAGCTGCCCATAATTATTTTTTGCATTACTAACATAAGAAAAAATAAGGCAAGAGCTTACCAAACATGTATCGATGATAAATTCAATGGTACTCAAGATGTATTAGGAATAATTTGTGTAAGAGAGATAATGTTCGATTTCTTTGTAACTTTTGTCGATTTACTCGAACCTGACGAAATGGAATCTTTACTTTCTTTTCACTGTGCAAGATACTGCTTGGAGGATGTCTTTGGATCTGGGCATACGTAGTGGAACTGAACAGTTTCATTTCAGTCGATGTTCTTGCAATTGCAAGTGATTTAGTCGCTCAGTGAGTTACTGCAGTTCAGCTGACAAAAAGCAACTGGCCAGGAGCGAGCTCCGTGTTTATTGTAAATACAAAGTACAATACTCATTTATAAGTGTTAAGAGGATAACTTAATCTGTCGTGTTTTCATTTTTTGATGGACGGATTAGGAGCACATACATAGATAATCAGAGATGCTACACTAGGGAATGGTGATTTAGGCTGTAGTTATGCTAATATATCTTTTGGTGAGTGAAAGCTGATTTAAAGGGTAATTTTAAAGTGCCATACAAATATCAATATAAATGGATGAGATGGCAGCAAAGTCTGGTAAAGCATCTTGATTTACAGCCCCAAAGAATTTTATCTAATGAACTTTGTCAGTGCTCACTTGGATTGGTTTCAGCAGAACCTTGTTTCTCTTCATGGTACCGTGTAGTTTATAACATGCGTATGTATTTGTTCAAGTGAAATGCTAACTCATGTAGTTAAAACTTTCTAAAAATTTCTTTCTAGAAATCAAGACCAAAATTTTATGTGCTTTCTATGTTCCCATATCCTTCTGGAAAGCTTCACATGGGCCATGTTCGTGTCTACACCATCAGTGATGCAGTAGCTCGGTTCCAGAAAATGAGAGGGATGCAGGTAAGAAAAGATTGGCAGTAGGACTGGGTGGGGTTTTTTATGTTTTAATATCATAATTGGTCAGGAAATTAGTATTTTCCAAAATCCATGAAGGTTTAGTTGAAATACATGCTACAGATGCTTGGATAATAACCTGTGGAGCTTTGAATATTGAACTTTGGGACCTCTTTAAGACTTCTTTAGACTACTTTTACTTTTTTTTTTTTTTTAAAAAAAAGAGATGGTGTTCAGAACTCACTGTTGATAACAAACTGTTAGAAGCTGTCTCCAGTGATAGAGCTGATGCTGTGTCAGCTCCCTGAGTCGACTGATGTACAGCACAGTATCAATGAGATGTGTGGGCCACACGGTTTCTATGAGAGGAGGCTGAAGACCCTACTGCCATCTGGGTGGGACAACAGGGGAGGAAAAGGTGTAGCTGGCAAGAGAAAACTGAGACATCGCAGAAGTCAACTCCTTTTACCTCTTCTGCTCCTGAGAACTCTTTGATTGATGCCCTTTGTCAGACTCAGAGAAACATCCTGCTCCTCTGTGCTGGCTGGGAGGGAAACCCTTTTTCATGACTGCTACAAGTGAGATGAACAGGGTCACGTCACACATCACGTCACGTGGGTGTAACTGTAGAAGTTTCTGTTCTGTAGCAGCTGGCCCCTTGGCTTGCCTGTTTCAGCCTTGCTCATACAACGTAGTGCTGTCTTCTCAAGGTGCAAGTCTACGAGGTAGGCTAAGACTAACTTATTTGCTGCATCTGCAAGGAGAAATCCCACTTTCCCTTCCACATTCTTCTGTTTCCCAGTCCTCCCCATGCCTGCCACCATTTCGCCCTCACTCCCTTCTCTCTCTCCGGTAGGTGGAAGGTATGGCTGAGAGCCTAGTCCTTGCAGTCTGCAGGTGGAATCCCAATTGGTGTTCTGCAGTAATGGCCAGTGGGTAAAATTTGAAGGATGTAAGGAAGGTGTGGGAGAATTGTAGCCTGAGTGACAACCGTATTAAGGAGGAAGATGACATTTGGTAGTGGGAAAATGTTGAGAATCTGGGAAACAGGAAGGAGGAGTATGGAAAGAGAATACCCAGTTTTGCGATAGGGAACAAAAGGAAAGAAATAGCCATAGGCAAGAATCTAGGATGAGATTCAGAAAGGAATTCTCTCTAATGCACAAGAGAGAAGGAGCAGCTCAAGAGTGTAGGAATCAGAACCTCAAAAGGGTACAAAGAAGATGAAATGGAGAAATAAATGTTAGTTGCTGGTTGTGGTACTAAGTGTAACTTCCTTGCTGCAAGTGCTGTAGAAATGTAGCTTTTCCTGTATTTATCACATCCATGAGACTCTTAAAGGTATTGTCACTGAATTATTCAGTGTGCTGCCTTTCCAAATACTATGTATTTTATGCCAATAATGAACATACTGTGCACTGAATATGTTCTGCTGCTTTACAGAAATGCATTCTCATGCTCTTAAAATTACAGGGAAAAAGAAATAACTGCCTTAGACTTTAAATGAGAAAAATACCCCAATGTCTGTTGTAACACTAATCTTTCCTAACTCCACTGAATAACCAGAACTTAATCTAACTAAAAAAAATTGAGCTGACTAGGCATTTGAAGGGACTTTTGATTCTTGCTTGATGCTAAGACCACTGGAGATGTCATTTCAGGACATATGTCATCTCTTATCAATAACAGTGGAGATATCGACTAAGTTTCTGTTCAGAATGATGAAAACTTGCTTCCTCTTGAACTAGCTAAAATAAAGTGAAAATAATTATCTACATCCAGTAGGATGCTGTAGATGTTAGGTTTTGAATACAAAAGGAGTAAACACCTTCAGTAGCAGCCTTTGGAGGAAAAAAAAAAGATAATATAATAGTAATGAAATTCAAGAAAGCAAGTTTTTATTTCCATGATTGCCTGTTTTTTTTTCCAGAAAAGTTCTGAAAGTCTTTTAAAGTTTTTAAATCCTGCATTTCAGCTTATTTTTATATTTCATGTAAAAATTACTTTGAAGGATATTAGAGTGCCTATGGAACATGCTGAATTTCTATAAATACGTGTGTCTTCTGTTGTGTTAACCACTTTGAACATCTATTTATGACTAAAGGTGGGCAGCCAAAGAATTTACCCTTCATTTGTGATTAAGAGACATTAAGGATCTCTCAGATGATTTTCTGAGTATGTCAGGTCTTAGAGCTATTGTGTTAGTGATGTACATTAAGTTGCTGGAGCTTATATTTACCTTAAAAAACCTTTTCTTTATTAGTCACGCTAATTTCTCCATCACTTAGAATTAAAGTCTCTATAATTGATTTTGTCCTCGTAATTAGTTTGTCAGCCTCCACATGTTTTCTCTGGCCATTGTCGCAGCTGTACGGTCTGTTAAAGATTTCTTTATTGTGATGTTGTAGTCTGTGACACGGTTCTGTCTTATCATACATAAAATTTTCTATTACCAAGAAAAATGTTTTTCCTTTTATTCAGGGCATTACGGAATTCTTCAGTACATAAAAAGAAAGAATGCTTTAGAAATAAATGTTAGCATCCTTAATTTTGAAGTTATTCTATTGTTGGAGTGGGTTTTTTTAACTTCTGGAAATTCAGCTTTAATATTGGATCTTTGAAAGTTCAGGGACTGCTGATTTTTCCCAAGTCAAAACTCTTAAGTAGAAGTGATTGCATTTCAGGTGTTCAAGGCAAGTTTAGGATAAGATTTTTGGGTAGTAATGTTGTTTAAACTTTGCTTCCATCGTTTCCAAACTAAAAAAAGGGAAGAGTCATTGAAAATAATCTTAGGAGCTGTATCTCCACAGACAGTTGTAGACCTCACCCTGGTTAGCAAGTCATAAAATTGTGCTAAAAGCAATACAGGTAGGTTGAAAGTGTTTGTAAAGCAATGAGGAATGATGGGCTGTTACCGTGAAAAATACAGGCAAACCCATTCAGACTTACAGTTCCCAGGGAAGATTTCAGACTACAATGTATATTTGTTGTCTAATAAACAGTGAGGGAAAATATAAGTGGTGTATACATAGTTGACTAGTGTATATGGTTGACTAAGAGACTAATATATGTTGAATAAGGGGGAGATATTTTTCTTAGAGAATGCCTTTGTGAGAAAATAGTAAGTTAGTTTCATATTGATTTAATCTGAACAGGCAAGAATTGGCTTATTTGTTATAATACTTAAGTAAGGATAAGCTTGAATGCCTTTACAAAGGGATTAGAGCTCATTTAGTAGATTGGAACCATTCTTTGGAATGCGTTCATTAATTTCTTCCTATTGGAGGTAGTTTGAACTCTTAACTGGGAAAGTGTTAAATCATTTGGATGCTGTTTTTTGTTTTTCTAAACTGGAACATTAGTATTTCATTCTTCTAGCTGGATAGGATCTGATTTTGTTTCAATTAAAATATTCTAGAGAGGTAACGTGCACTGAAATCTACTGATATTTGCCAGAAACCTGTACTTCACCAGCATTTTAAGTGGGGAAAATAACTATTTGTTACGCTCCCCCTCCACTCCCCCTTGTTTTTGGAAGAAATACTGCTTCGACGTAAAGGTGTAGATGATATTGGTGACTAATGCCACTGAAAATGGGCAAACAGATTACCTAATGAACAGCAGCCTTTTCTGCAATATGTGGCTGGCTAGTCATTTGTTAAATGGTGTGCAGGGGAGGGATTTAATGCAAGTGTAACACTGGAATAGGCAGTCACTTTTTCAGTGTACTGGTGAGCAATAAGCCTTGCAGTTTTCAGTAGGGGGTGTGTGAGCGTGTGTATTGCAGTACAGAGGTGTTTGTTCACCAGAGTTGTATGGATATGGGGCCAGCATGTTGGTTGTGCTGATGGGTGATGGAGTCCCATTGGTTTTGCCTGAAGATCTGACCAGCGAAGCGTTGTCTTGTTCCAGCACTCCTCAAGGACCTGCAGGCAGTGCATGGGAAACAAACTCTGCCATGCACTTGGACTGGGTTGCTGGCTAAATGATTTGTAGAGCTTATCTATTATAAGAACTTGTTTACATTCTGATTACTGAAGATGAAGTTTGAAGTCTTTGCATGAGAATTGTGAACCATGTAGATTACTTAACATGAACACACTGAGCTAGTCTCCTTCCAAAATGTGTTAAGGATAACATTTTTCTTGAAGGGCAATTAAAACAATTTTTGTGTATGGAGAGTTCTGGTCACAGATGTTATTACAAACATATTTCTTTTAAAATGCTATGAAAAAGTAATTTATGTATTTAAATTACAAATTTGTATCTGTTAATAAACCAATGCAGAACCATTGTTAATAAACCAATGTGCATTTCTGGCTGTGTGTTCTCTGTGAATTTACATGCATGTTGTGAATTCAAATGGAGGAGTTTTGTAAGAATTGAAGAAATTTCCTGTTCATTATTTGAGAGTGCCATGTAGAAATTAGAGATATTCATGGTGATTTTCACCTTGGCAGATTTCCAGTCTGCTGCTGCTCAGGTAAAAAGTATTTACCGTTGCTTTATCATGCTATCATTATCATGTCTTTGATAAATTCCAAAGTGGATAATTTGTGCCTCTCAGAGGACTGAGAATAATTCCCTTAGCAATCAGTAAACAGAGACTGATTCAGTTCAATAGTTCCTGTGATATCTTTTTAATAAAATTTTGAATTGAAATAGATACCACAGCAAGGCTGTCACATGAGTGAGTTGTGCAGAAATTATAATGATCATTGGGCAATTGAGGGTGGCATTCTTGTACAGTAGGATCAGATTTCTTAATATGTGCTTAAACTGCTCCTGATAGATGGGATTGGAATATTGTCGGTGATAGTTCCACAATATCCTTAAATGACGTAAAGAGCATTTTTATTTTATCCAGGACGTCTTTTTTTTCATTAATTGTTTTCCTGTTCAGCAGTGAATCTTAATACTCTTGAAATTGCAAAAGTGAATGGTATTGAAGACAGGTAGGGAAATTTAAATAAAACTTTATCATTAATTCATCAATAAGATTAATTATTTCAATACAGTTCCGTTTTCTGATCATCACTAGCTGCTGTTCTCTGCCATTTTTAGAGTCCTTCTCCAGGTTATTTTCTGTGGTATAAACAAAGTGGCAAGTATTACAAGTATCCTTTGTGATTTAATCTTATTTAAATTTAGTTTTTCAGTAGCAAGTACTGAAGGTGTTAATGAGCTCACTCTGTTTCATTTTGAAAGAAAAAGAGAAAACAAGATGTGATTTTAAATCCAATTATGTTAGACAAGAACATGTGAGATTAAGGAGGCGAGAGGCACCTTGTTTTCTAAATGTTTATGGTAGCGTGTAGACATAGAATAATTTTTCATATTTTGTATCTTGTGAGAACAAGAAATAAATGAGAGCATTTTATAAGCAGAGTTAGTTTTGATAGAAATCTGTGTGGGTTGATTATTTTTTAATTTGAAAGTGCCTTATCAGAATGCTAATATGCATCGTTCTGTTGCAGAGAAGCATTGAAATAATCCTTGCTAGAATGTACACCCTAGTCTAAAATTCAGTATTTTAATCTATTTCTAGGTGTGCCTTGTCTGCTTGGGTTTTTTTTTGTTGTGTGGTGGTGGTAGTTTTTAGCTGTTGTGTAATGGTGGTTATTTCTAGTACACTTAAAAGACAATCTAGGCTGCGTTCAGGCGGGGGTCTTGTATTTAAAATATGTTGTATCTGTAATCTGTTGATTTACAAATAATGTTTGCAACGTGTTCAGCCTAATTGTAGGCAGCCAGTGGAAGAAGCAGCCGCCCTTTCCTTTCACCTCTCTGCCTGCATGTCCTCTCTGTCTCACTTGTGTGTGGCTACACAATTGTGAGACCAAGTGCAAGGAGGATGACAGAGTTGCTGCTGGAGCCAAGGGTGTTTTCTGGCAGCTGGAACCCATGATCACAGATCACCTGTTTTGCCAGCCGGTTTTGGTTAGTTCACATTGTGTGTCAGGGGTCTATAACTAGAGACAGGAATGTAGACTTTGCTGTATTGATGCAAATCACTAATCTGTCAGTGAGCCTCTTCATTTTCATTTTTGGTTTCTTATCACACATTCTCTGAAATAAATATATTTACAGGCGATTTTGACACTGATTCTGCTGTCGTAAAATTTAGAATGCACAGATCTGGACATAAAAAAGGTACATCACCTCCCTGGTCATAGTTTTGAGACACATTGAACACATCAGGGGAGCAAACGAGTTCTTTGTTTCCTTACAAGCAGTAAGGAAAATTCACTGAATCGTCTGTCCTAGTTATGTTGATGGAGGCAATGAGATCATTGTCAGCTTTGTGTTATACAGCAGTTACTGATTTTGCCTTCTAATGTCAGTGTGATGGGCTGATTATTACAGCAGTGAATAGATGAAAATCCTCTGAGAGGAAGAGCTGAGATCTCAGAAATGAATTAACAGAGTTACTGTGTCTTCCTCTGCTTCATCCCACAGTCACATTAAGAGCTCTAGCCGTCGTTAACGACAGATTTTTGACCATGCTGTGAAATGATTCTTAAAGCAATGCTTCCAGCTAATATGAAGTCAGCCTTTGGGAATCTAAAATGTTTCAAGATGCAACTGTTTTCCTTTTTAGTAATCTGCTCCTGAAAAGACCGCTCAGTGTGGTGATTACCAAGCCCTTTGTTCCCCACACGCTGATCACTTCCTTGCAACTTCGTGTTCCCATATAAGACATAGTGTGCTGAGTGGTAGAGAATGCCAGTCTTTCATAGGTGATCCTGTGAACTTCTGAGGATCAGAGGCCATCTGTGTTCAAGACTAAGCTAGTAGTTTTGACCAGGAAGAGTTTACCTGTCCGCTTCATTGTGAACACCAGAGACACACAGCTGCCTTTGGTGATAGTACAGGCATCTGCCATCCTAAAATAACTGAAACTATAGCCTGCCTTCTTTTGCCAGGTATAGGCATCCTTAGACTTACGCAGGTCTCCTGTCTTACAAAATATGTTCATTATTTGTTTTTCTTTCTCCTTGTGGATTAGAAAAAGTACTGTCTGTCCAGAGAAGCGATGCTTGGAAGAATGGTCACTCTAGTAAGCAGAATTGATCCCTCAGTTGCATAAGGCTTAGAGACTGCTGTCAGAAGCAATCAAGTCCAGTGTTCAAGAAAGTGAATGATGTTTTTTCCTTCCCCTCGTCTGTAATGCTGGAGGGAGCAGCCATGTTTTCTGCTAGTTAGAGCCTATGACCATGCCATCAAGGAGCTACAAGGAATGCCCTTTGGTCTTCAAAATTGCTTTCTTCCTATTTTTTCTTTCTTTTGAACAGTCAAGATGTTCCTTTGTTCTTTATGCCAACTTCTGATATGTTAGTTGTATATTTTCTTCTCCTCTTCCATGTCTCTTGAGATTTCTTTTTTTTTAGGCTTTTCGGAACTGTATAGTTAATCTCAGCCTTGTGTTTTATGTTGGCCACATAGAGTTAAGATGTAGTGCCAAGTGCTGCATGAAGGCTGTGGCATTTTAGCTGCAGATAGGTAGCATACATTCCAGCCAGAAGCAGCTGTCCTGTTGTTTAGACAAATGCATTTCACAAACCTTTCAAATCCATTCACGGTAGAGAAGTAAAAGAGACAATAAACTTGAAATAATTTTCTAAACCACTGTGCATGTTACATTCATCGCTATAGCAACTCCATAAATAGATCTATCCTGGAGATTAATTTGAGGATATTTTTAATGTCTCTTTAAATTCAGGTTTCTGATTGAAACTTGAATTAGTGTACTGCTTCAGCCCTTTAACTTGGAGAATCCTATTGGTTGTTAAATTGAACTGCTTTTGAATGTGATAAGTGAATACACTGTATGATATTTTTTATATACATGCTAGAACTAGGAAGATCTGTGTGAGCAGATAACTCCTGCTAGCACTGATGGTACAGTGATAAAATGTCTGCACATTAGCTGTCTGGAGCATCAGTCAGCCCTTTTGGGGAGTCTGTAGCTGGTAGTGAAGCTGTTCTTCCCACATCCTTTTGCTTGTGAGCATGAGAAATGAGATTCTGCCTTGCTTTTGGCTGCTTATCTGTGTCCAGGAGATCTTCAGAAGCCAAATTTTACAAAAATTAATTGAGTTGTTTTTCTAATGTCACAATGTGCAGTAAAAGAAGGCGTTTGTAGGGATGCAAATGTAGGGCATTTGTCTAAACAAAGGGCGTTTAAATAAGAGAAAATGTGTATTATACATGAAAAAAAAATCTGTTTGATTTAATCATTTCTGTCCAGAGAGAGGTGGTCAGCAATAGTAGTGGTCAAAAGATTTGGGTTTTTTTCCTCTCCTATAGCAGTAGTTTTGATTACTGATGGGGGGAGGGAGAGAAGGGCTGGGGAGAGGTGTACTTCAATAGGGGATTGACAAGTGGTTTAGGCTCTAAGTGAGATTTTCCATGTAGTGCTAATAATGTGGGGAAGTAGGGAGTTAGGACTCATTTTCTGACACTGTGGTATGAGGAACAATAACCTGTCTGATAATTTGTAACAGAATAGCATTCTGATTTCTATTAGATTTATATATCAAAAATGTGCTGTGCATGGACCCTTACTGTACTGGCTTGAATCACAGATGATCAGAGGGTAATACCTTTGGTTTGGTTGCTGCACCAGCAGAGTGATGATATACAGCAGGTTCCGTTGTAGCTCAGTATTGAAAACCAGAATGCTGAGGAGGCACATCTGCTAAATCCTGTTGCTTTTACACTGAGCTGGTGCCTAGGGCACCTTTATAAACATACCTATAAAATATTTTTGATGAAAGAATCCATTGAAGTCAGGAATCGTTGAAAGGTTGTGGCCAAGAAGAGTAAAAATAATTTAAATCAGTGACAAAAATAGCTCTTATGCTTCCAAAGAAGATTTTTCACATGGAGAAAGCTTGTGAGATTTGTTTTGCTGGGCTTGCTTCCTTATTGCTTGTTTGCTTACATGCCACTGAAGAACAATATAAATACGTATTTTAAGGGGTAAAAATTTTGATTTCTTACAGCCTGTAAAATGTTACTGAATCACGTTTTGCTGTTGTTAAACTTGGGTAACTTTAATCATAGTTATTAAATTTATAGCACATTTGCAGGTGTAAGAAATGGGATTGGTTTTACGAGGTATCCAATATATAAGTGTGTTTAATGACAGCATCTGAAATAGTAGCCTTTCTTTCCCTGCTTATTAAACAGTTTTTTTGAATACTTGCTAATAATTGCTAGGTTATTTTTCTAAATAGTTTGCATGTTAATAGGAAAGATACGTATCTATTTCAGCAGAAATTATCTGTTATATTTTGTAGTAAACATTTTTTCCACCTTTCTTTATTTGTGATCATGAAATACGATTTGTTAGTCTGTAGTCTATATTTGTGAAAGATATTTTAGTAAAATTTGACTATAACAGTTCTCATCCTCTTTATCTATTGCATTTAAGGTTATCATGGGTTTTTTTTTTCCTTCAACAAAAAAAAAGAAAAATAAATAGTAGAGTACATATCAGGTACAGTTATAAAAATGTTGATTCAATTAGGTTTGCTTGCTTTCTTCTTCTGCTTTAGAATGAATATTTGATTCTGTTTAGCAGTAGCATCGACTGTTAATTTTGTCCACGACACAAATTCACAAAGGATTGGTTTTTGTCGTTGTCAACCTGGAATTGAAATAGTCATGAGGATTTATTGCATAATACTTTAAGCTCCTTCTAACATTGCATTGTAGACAGCAAGTATGCTCATATTAGTCTTTTAAAACAGACGTAGTCATAGTTGGCATGTTTTGAAAAGGTTCAATTCTGACAAAGCAAATGCTGAAATGCAGAACACCGTTCATTCTTTGGAGGCCTGTGTGTGTTGCTGATGCCATTCCAGAAAGTTATGTAAGACTCTGTTTTTCCTTTTTACTGACAGGTGATAAATCCAATGGGATGGGACGCATTTGGTTTGCCAGCAGAAAACGCTGCAATTGAACATGGGCTTCACCCTGCAAGCTGGACACAAAGGTAGTTTTTAATAAATTTAAGTAATATGACATTTCCACCATGGATGCCTGTACTGTGGCTACCATAAACCAACAGAACAAAGCAAAGCCAGTGTAGAAGTAGAAGAAAGATGGTACAGAAAGAACCAGGGTTATTTGTTAATGTCTTATGGGACTATGCAGATGATTCACTTTTGAAAAATAAATGTATTGGGGTGATTTTCAAGGTTTTAATCTCAATGGCTTTTAAATTGTAAAAAGGTGGAATAACGAGAGAGTGAAATTTCCCAAACACCCAAATCAATGAATAAGAAATAAACCAGAATTTCATTATGGTGAGTTAAATTTTAGTGTAGAATTCTGAGTTGAAAATTATGAGCTACAAGGTTAAATTCACTTGCAGTTTTCAGTACCATGCAAAAGAGGATGAAGATAGTTTTTTTCATTTGAGACAGGGTCTTGGAAAGTGATAAGCAGCCATTATTGTTGCTGATTTCTGTGAAAATATTGGGCTTTAGACTGCAGAATTGAGTGCTGTGTTCCCCTAATATTTCTTAAAATGAATAGAAAGTTATATAAGTAAACATTAATTTCTATAAATTACTCAGAAACCAGTCTTCTTAAGTGAAGCTCTTTATTGTGCTCTGGATACAGTAGTCTAGCTGTGATATCTTTTTGGACCTTGATACATTTCCTTCTTTGGTAATGCTGTTTCTTTTAAGTTTTTTTCATGCTTCTGGTCCCATGTTAAGATATTTGATAACTTTCCAACTAAAATATGATGGCAACTAATTTCACTTAGGGAGAATGCATGAGTGCACCACACACAAATTCAGAATTAGTTATGCTCATTTTTAAAAATTTCCTTCATATATGGTTTAGATAAGAATATGCGTGAGAAGCAGTTACCTTCAAGACACAAAAACCTGGTTTTATTCTTTTGAGTCTGAAAAATCACTGCACAGTGTATTGTGGGCTATCGATTTTTTTGTAGCATGGTCAGCAAATTGATGGTTTCAGTCTTCCTTCAATAAGCAGATCTACGTATCTGTTATATCTGAATGCCTTGTTTTTACCTCCGTTATCTTGATGGAACCTTCAGCAGACAGAGCATTACTGTGATCCTTAGCTACATGACAAATGAGGCACAGAGAAGTGAAGGTTGTAGTTTTGAGGTGAGGCTGACATTAAGTACCTGCTGACTACAAAAGGGTTAGTGTTTTCTCCTCGCTACTATGTGGTCCCTTCTCACCTATCATACTAGCTTTGGGACTCATAGGACATCTTGTAGAACTGACCCAGCTTGCCAACTCAGAACAAAGCCATTCTGCCAGCTGACTGAGTTGAATTGGCTCGAGAGAAAAGTAGTGAGCATATGGGGGCAGAGAGACTGTGCAATAGCAAAGGACTGTATCAGCTCAACCTGTCTCGTCTTAGTAGTTTGTCTAGGTCATATCAAAAAAGCACGTGGCAGGGCACAGCCTGAGCTGATTCTCTTCTGCTCTTTTCTGTGCTGTTCTGGTTTTCTCTTTTCTTGTAAATAGGTGCATATTGTTCCAAGCAAGTATGTGGTTTGGTTAGTAGCTCAGCTAGTAGTTACAAGTGTAAGACCTTTTACACTGGAAGAAAATTTTGCTTTGAAAATTTCCGTAGTACTGAAAAGAGTGATTGTCTAGTTTTAAGATTTGTATAATGGTATTATAACAACAAACTGAGAAAAGTTAGCACATCATCATTGGGACTGATTATAATAACATCCAAATAGGAAAATTATTTACATACATGATGTTTTTGGTTATGCTGAGGAAGGGAGTTGGTTCATCATACAGGCAGTTTAAATTCTGACCACTGAAGTAGTTGCTGTCTCCTGTTTTCTCCACCGTCCCCATCCTGAATGTTTCCCATGCCTGCAGCAGGGATGACTGAACTGAACATGGAGCTGTGATGGTGTGATAGCAACCTGACATGTTTTAGTCATCCCTGGTGCAGAGCCAGCCACCCCTGTAAAAGGGAGCACACCATAAGCATTTCAGCTTACTTGGTTCAGGAGTGAGCAACAAAATTTCAGAGCATCATGCTTTTCTGAAGAGGTGATTTAAAATGAACTCAAATTGGCTATTACCTCTTATATTCTCAAAGTTGGAAAAAAACCCCATAAAAACACACAGAGGTTTTTGTTAGTAAGGATTAGTATAGTGGCAGAAGCTTTGTGAAAATACACTCAAATTTTGAATTTTTTTATTGGTACAGTTCATTTTGAGTGGGACTTTAATATAAGCAATACT